GAGAGAGAGAGAGAGAGAGAGAGAGAGAGAGAGAGAGAGAGAGAGAGAGAAGAGGAGAACGAGAAAGTGTGTACATACCTGAGGGAGGATGATGAGCTGGCGGCCATAGACGCATGCACCATGTACTTGAAACGTGTTTGGGAAATAATAATTTGAGGCTTTCAGCTGATATCGATGATCCATCGCGTTTCTCTGCTGTTGAGTGGTTTTGTGTGAGCATCAGTGACATGCATTAGTGCAACTGGAGTTGTATTTGAGTTGGTTCATTGCAAGAAACTGATCCTATTTGTTCATCTCCGTCAAGCTGGCGAGGTAGGATTAGCAAATGACCTCAAAGTTGCCGGCAACATGTCCAGACGACGTCCAATCAGATAGACAGTTGTGCCTCGAGCTCGAGCCTCCAGATCAAGCAGGCTATCGTGATGAACAAAGTATGAAACATCTGCAATATGCACGCCGACCTGGAATCACAATCCCACCAGTTTCCATGTACAACAATAACAACCTAGTGCTCAGCTGCTTGCCATCGGATGACAGGAGGCGACCAAAAGACCGAATCGGTATCAGTCAGGAGTCGGGATATAATTGACAAAACCCAGGAAACATAAATGAATTCTCTAACAAGCTTTTGATGGCATTCCATGACATACGAGAACTCAACGTCAGATGGTGGTGAGATCTGTATGACTACGAGGACTGCTCAGAACTCAAGGGAAAACGATTCTAAAAAGAAAAGAAAAAAAGATAGATAGAGCTCCCCAGAAGGCCCAAAGCACAAGCTCATGCAGAAAGAATGGGATAGAGGGGATGGAATGCAAGGTACTGAGTAGTACTTCGGGCTCTTCTATTCCTGACATGCCCACAATCTAGTTCGACCAAGTTCAAGGACGTTTCAGCTTTCTTTCTGAAGCAAGTTTAATCGAAACTTCAGAAGTCTGTCAAGTTCAGTCATGCGTCATGACCGAAACGGAAGGCAACCCACTGCAAAGGATATGCCCCCCGGGTACATGAGCTCATAACCCAATCATCAAGCAAGTTTAGTGAGTCCACTTTAACTTTAAGGAAGGTATCCCAGTCCGCTAGGATTCTGTATTTCGAAACCTGGTTGAAAACCAGCTAGGGACACTAACGGTTAGTGGAAGGCCCAAATTTTGGGGGTTTTCGCCGCACCACTACAAGCAATGTTGTCGAAACTTTTGCAAACAAACTATGCAGGGTCATAATTCAAAGATGTAACTTTTAAATATTGGGTCAAAAGTTCCACTGCAACGGTTGCCCGTTCACCCATCCAGTCTACTAAAGTGCCCATCAAACCGTGCAAGATGTCGTACATCACACGACTTTCCAACTTGAGTAATGTTTGAATTATGACCCTGCATAGTTTGCTTGCAAAAGTTTCGACAACATTGTTTGTAGTGATGCTGCGAAAACCCCCGAATTTTGGGCCTTCCATTAACCGCTAGTGAAAGGATGTCCCTCTTCTACTGGAAGTCTTAAACTAATCAGACTCTGTACTGTTCCCAGTGAATACTTTGCAAATTGAAAGACTTACCATGGAAAGAAGTGGTGGATACTTTGCAAATTGAAAGAATTACCATGGAAAGAAGTGGTCCACAAAAGAGCGAAGATGTTCACATTCAGCAAAGCACCAAGGACAGCAAAAACGAACTGGATTTTCTGAACTGGGCCGCTGGCAGAGCAGTGGAAGACCCCCCATGGCTTGTACTGTCATCAAGCAGAGTCTTGCGATCTGTTTCCTCACAAACCTTTTATTCCTCGATAGAACCGTATAAAACCACCAGTTCAGGCAAGGCCTCAGCACACATCTGAATTCTTTTATGTCAACCCATCGAGTGTGAACTGAATAAGCTGCAGGCAGGCCGCTACATCAAAAAAAATGCGGTCTCTGTGTGCACAGGCAAAGCTCCAGTTGGGCTCCGCTGGACCGGTGGTTCAATGCCAGGCAAATCCTTGACTTCGCTACCTTTGAGTTAGAATACAAGCCTGAATGAGTGAACAAAACCAAAGGTCATCTTGGGATTGACGAATTATGGACTTCATGGTATGACCTACTTGTACATGTGTGCCATCTAACCCCGTTCAATAGTCAGAGCCTCAGAAGCATTTAAATAAGATGAGAGAATGGCGGCAAGAGTTAGGAAACTTCCACATCAACCTAGGAACAGGTTCCCGTAGTCAAGTAGGAGAAGGTTGCCTTCGAGAAAAGGACTCCATACAAGCATCTTACCATCTTTCACAGTTTTTTTTTTTTTTTTTAATCCTTTTTAGGCTTTTTGAGCCTTTTTCAGTATTTTGAACACAAAAGAAAAAAGAAAAATACCAAAAAGAAGAAAGACTAAGAGAAGGCATGATCACGAAGGTAACACTCTGGTCGATTTGGAAGGAAAGATGCGGCAGGACTATTGAAGGACTATCACTGCCAAGAGAAAAGGTGTGGGTGGAGACAAGGACTTTGATTCAGGCAGAGATCCTATGTAGATGGCACAAGACAAGGTACTCATTGCCGGACGATGAAGACCGGTGACAGAGTATCCTCTCCAAGTTCGTCAAAGTCTGGCTGGTGGGAAAGAAAGTCGCAGAGATAACAGACTCCAACATATGGTGGAAAGATTGGCACCATTCGGAGGCGAGCTGGAGAAGTTCAAGACTGTACTCAACGGGCGGCCTACAGGAGCCACAGGCCACATAAGGGGGTTCAAAACATTCAGAGCTACTCAAGAGCAACCCGTTTGTCGTTTCTCAGTTATCCTTGTTTTTCAAAGCCGTAGCCGACAGATTCTCACAGAGGTATCTGAGAGGGAATCCAGAGAAAGCCAAGCTGACAGTCAATCCTCCTATCAGGAGCAATCAATGCTGGTCAGGGTTCCTTCGGCCATACGGAAGGAAGCGTGAGTGTGTTCTATGATGTATCCAATTTTGACTTGCCGGGGGAGTAGGAACCGGACTGACGCTCCCCAGAATGGATATGGAGTCAGGACCATAAGGGCCTGTTTAAAAAAAAAAAAAAAAAAAAAACTAAGAGAACCTTCACAACGACGGCGGTTAACCCTCGGGCGAACACACAGCGAGGGTGGGAGAAAGACGAAGAGACAGCAGGGTGGTAAGAAAGAAAACAAAGACAAGGCAAGAGAAGGAGTAGGGAAAAGCAGAGGAAGAAGTGGTCAAAAGGCAGATTGGAGGGGGCTTAAGAAGACAGCGGAATGAGTAACAGGATTACACATAAGAAAGCCTTGAGGCGAGGCGAAAAGGTGAAAGCATAGGCCGAATCTAACTGGGAGATAGGAGGGGACATGAGGAGAGGTGCAGGGAGGGCCACACAAACAGGCGGAAAAAGGGGAGAGAGGAGGGAAGGGAGGCGAGACGAATAAAGGGAGAAAAAAAAAGAGGGAGGAGCGGGGGCACCAGCGGAATTCAACCATCTCAACCCACGTCACAGTCAACGGGCGCACAACGGAGATGGAGTGGTCAAACCTCGCACACTAGGGCAGAGGGCAATGGAATTTCTGTTAGACAAAACGAAAATCACGGCAGAAATAAAGGTCACAAAGGAAGTGCTCAAAGGGGAAGAGGGGAAGGAGGAAGAGGTGGATGTATGGGAATACCCAGAGGAGGATATCCCGTCGCTCGATGAGGTGTACGAAAAACACGCCGTCCTTTTCAATTTTTCCGGTAAAAACCGGGACCTCTCGCAGAATGAGAATCGCAGATGGGTAATGGACAGGCTCCGTGCGTTGGAAAGCATGCCAGGACACAAACCAGAGGTATCATACCATAAGAGGGGGAAGTTTACAGTGATGACAGTCTGCGTCGATCCAACGTACGCGCAGTACCTTCTGTCCATTGGCTCACTGAAGTGTAAGGAGGGGCAGTGGTAACAGTGCAATCATCGAAGCCACCACGCCCCCCACAGGCGGAGGCTTCAAGACACCGACAGTCGATGATGAGGAACCATCCCTGGGTTCAATTTGACAATTTGTCAGAAGGCATGCACAACTTCGTACAAAAGAGACTAACGGAAGAATACCCTAACAACCCCATCATTGACTGGCTCCCAGCCAATCCAGATTTTTTGGCACCCAAGCACGATTCGAGGGTGGCATGCTTGGAAGTTCAATCGCAAGCACCGCCAAAGTTTCCGGAACAGTGGAGCTTCAGGAAGAGCGGACAGCGGATCACCATCTTTGTTTCGACAAAAACAAACCCCTTCTGCTTCAAGTGCAGGGGGAGAGGTCACTTGGGATCCTACTGCCCAAAGGCAGGGGCAGGCAATAAACAAGCACCACTACACCGGTCGATGTTGGAAGAATGCGATAGCAAGCCGGGAGTCTGGTACATTAACTCGGTGCAATACAGGGGATGGATCTTTGACAACAACTTTGAGTCACCAAGGTGGGTGCACACTGTCAGTCAAGCCGGACATTTACCCACCCTACGACAGTAGGTGGAGGCAGACGGGCGCTAAGAGGATGGAAGAGAAGGAAACGGGCTACCTGACCAAACCAATGCTGGATGAGTGTACAATCCAAGACGATCAGCAAAGGTTGCGTACCATGAGGAGCTTCACTTAGTAGGGAAAAACACGGAGCAGGCCTTCCTCAAGAACCTCAAAGCCAGGAACCAGAAGCGGGATCAGCAGCTAAGCCAAAAGGAAAGTGTCAAAGAGCTGCAGGAGGAGCAAGGAGAGAACATGGACTGTGAGGAGGGGGAAGGGAGGGCCACCAGTGGGGCAAGCTCCTCTCTAAAAAGAAAGGGGCTGTCTGGAGACTCGGAAGGAATGGACCAACGGGAACAAAAGAACCAGCTGGTCAAGAGGCAGCAGCCGGACAACAGGAAAGAGCAGACAGAAGGGAGTCAAACGTCCAGTTCAGCGGACACTAGCACACAGAGGGAAGAGGGAAAAAGCCTGCGAACGGGGTCGGAAGCCAGCAGGCCCGAAGGGGAATCTATGGACATCTCCCGGGAGGTTACCTCAACGGAGGCATCCGCAGAGGATAAGAGGGACACAAGAAGCTGCATGCTCAACCAGGAAAATATGTCAGAGGAGGAGATAAAGCAGGCGGAGGAAGATCAGAGGGACTATACTGTCGATGCAGAGTCAGAGGACTCATCAGGGGAAGCCGAATGGTATGAAGATGCAGGTGAAGAAGATGATTCACTTGATCAGTGGAAACAAACAGTAGAGCAGCTGGAATGGGGACGTACGATTGAGTGTGAGATCAGATTGGTTTATCACAAACACTTGAGGAACCTCAAACAAGCTACGCAGGTAGCGGAAGATATCACCTCGGAGAACAGATTTGAACTATTGAAAAGGGAGGGAGAGATAAACGAGTTTTACGCAGAGCAGTGCGCAAGGAAAGCTCGCCCCATCAGGAACGATATTCACATCCAGGAAGAATACAGCAAGAGCTTTCAATGGCCTAAGACGTACTGCAACAAG